TTCCATTGAATAAATTCCCTGGCCTTCCATGAGTCATAAAGTAAGTGAATCTCCTCTTTCTCTCATGGATTTAACCATATACTAAAACTGAGACCTGAGTTTTAACAAATAAGTAATCTCGGTGATGTTATGCTGAGACTTCTGTGCACGCCAGAGTATTTGCCGAGACAAGTACGCTTTGGTCCTGCGTGCCTGTGTATGTTCTTTCATGCTGTGTTGTCTGTCTGACAACTGAAGAAACCACGAGTGCAGGATATATTTTCAGAATATCTCGTGTAGCGTACCGGTCCTCTGACCTTAGGGGCTTAGAAGTTAACTGGAACTGTGTCTCTGTTAGCCAAATCCTTGTTGCCGTACACAAGATTATACTTGGCGTGTGAGATTCTTCTGGCTATCTTTCTTTTATATTTACGTGGAAATTAAACCTCTTTTCCCATGAGAAGTGTCAAGTGCAAAACTCCGGCTCTGCGTCCAGGATTGCTGATGTTAGTGGATGTGTGTGTGTTGTACGCCTCCTTTTGCCAGAACTCCCAGCCTCTGAACTGCTTTTTGCGGTGGGAGGAGGTTTTGGGGAACGTCGCTTTAAAGCTAGTTCTTCAACCTTTCTTTTAGATCTTTAAATCGAAACCTTTCTTTTAGCACAAGCTTTACATCCCATTGCTAGGTTTGTAGCTTAACTTGTAGCCTGATTGTCGCTCTGTTCCTTACGTTTAATGATTGTTAGTTAATAAAGTCAGCGCTCTGTAGTCTCTGCCAGTTAATCGCTAACCCTGTGAACTCTTGCAGGGGCAAAGGACTCGGGCTAATTGGCAGAAGTTTATTTAAAAAGATGATGTTGAATCTTCTACACCTCAGCCAAAATATTACTTAATTTCTCTAGAAATGGGGGTTTATTTCTGTAGGTTAGGATTTGGGGTGGTTTTGGCTTTTTTTTTAAGGTTAATTCATCTTTCTGCCTTTGTGCTGCAGTCGTTTTTCTCTGCTGCAAATGCCAGGTTTGCGCCCAGCCTTGTTAGTAAAATAAACACGACGACTCGGAATAATGGAACGTGTTAATTCAAGCGTTTGTGTGGGCAGGTGTTTCCTTTTGGTTTTCCTTGTTTTAAAGGAGTGATTGACAGCACCTAGCGAGAGCGCGGAGCCTAACGTTGCTTCTAGTCTTACCGCTAATGCTCACGTGTCAAATTAGGGGAGCGTATCCCAATGGAAAGACGTGAGTAACAGGTCAGTGTCTGTCATCTCCCCGGGCAGGAAAACACACGCACGCTTCGAGAGCGAGTCTGGAAGCCGCAGTGATCTTCTCTGGTTTTTGTTCTCTTGATGTAGGTTTTCTTCATGCTAACCTTAAAGCTCGTTCGTCCTGTTTCCATGAAAAATGCTTGTTTGCGCAGCATGCCCAGCCGCCTCTCGTCTTCTCACGCCTGCCTGCCAAAACAGAGGAACGGTCAGCTGTGTCGCGAGATAAAAGAAATGGGCTTAATGCAGTAAAAAAGATTTGAAAACAGCGTTGAAAAGCGAACTAGTTCTGCATTCGGTAGAACGGAGATAAAGGCAAATTTTCTGATCTTGAAAGAGCATTGAAGAGGAGCTAGAAATGAGTCTGTTATTGAAATCAACTTCTAAGTACAGAGAGGAAATCAGATAAAAATGTCAGGACTTTTAACACTGGAAGTAGAAATAATCAAGAGCCACTTCTGTGATGATATAATATTTGGTGTAAAGAAACACAAGGAAGTACCTTTCCACATAGCATTCAAAATGCAGCGAGGCCATTAGGAAAACTAACGAAAGGAAAATACTTCAGGGCGAAACAAAAAAAGGTGTGTGATTAACCGAGTTATAGATGAGCGTGTGCATTTATGCTTCATTATTTTTAAGAAAAGTGTGTTCTTTGACTGTATTCTTCCTCCCCAACCCTTCACACGTTATTTGTGTTTTGGTAGTCTTGAAGGAACACAAGCAGCTGTGCATGGTCGTACAGTGCCTTGGGGAGTCCGGACTCGGTATCTGGCTATTAGAGTGTATGTACTAAATAACCCGACTCATCTAGATTCTATCTAGATATTACATATAATGTCTGATAATACATGTAAAGAACCATTTCAGTAAGCATAAAAGGATGTTTGAGTGCTAGGAGCTTCAAACGATGCAGCTTTAATCAATAGTGTTTATGTACTTAATTGTTCAGAGAGAACTTCCATCAAACTCCCAGACTTTTTTTTCCTCTTTCCTTATTCACTCTGTCTTCTCCCATATCACACCGCTTGTTCAGAGCAGTTCTGCCTCCCTCGTAACTGGCACTGTATTTCCTCTTTTCACCAGTTTTTTTGCATGCCAGTCTCATCATATTTGCTCTGTGCAAAGTGCCAGATGTGTTGGCAGGCGAGTAGGAATTATTTTTATATACGATGAGTAGTAGTTTAGCTTGTGTGCCCTTAAGTAGCTGCAGTGAGACAGCAGAGTCATGGTTAACTTTAGTCATGCAAGTTCCACTTAATGCAGAATGATTATAAAGCAAATTCCCTTTCTGTTGAAGCTTTTAAAGTGGGAGGAAAATGCAAGAGATAATTTAACGTGGGGCTTGTGTTCATGGGTCAGAATAACAAGATAGTGTCTTTTTTCCAGGCTGTTAGCAATAAAAGAACAGTTGCATGTGGTAAAAACAGTATGTTCTAGACACTGTGCCAGTAAAAAACAAAAAAAAGATGACGTTATTTTACAAATTGAAAAAAATCTGCGGTTCATGTAGGTTGATAGCGTTTGTTAAAAAATATTTCAGGTGAAAGGTATTCTGTAAGTAGTAATAACTCTCGTATCTAATAGTAATTCTGTGAACTGGTAAGGAAGTAAGATTTTGATAGGATGTAGAATCATTTACTCGGGCTTCCTGACTTTCTTTGAAAGACTTACACGTTTATCCAGAGATGTTTTTGCTTTGCCAGCTCTGCCCAAATTTTTATAAAACAGTCAATTTATCTTCAGGAGCAGACTGTTGTTTTCCCTGATAATGTTAAGAGGACTTGTGGTGAGGCCAGCCACAGTGGCATTCAAAACAAGTCATAATTACTCCGAACCACCTTATTTGTCAGATGGCACCTGGTACTGTGAACAGAGAACAGCTAGTGTGCCCTATTACATAGTTCAGGATAAAAAGTAAGGTTCAAATGAAAAATATATTAAAAATCCCTGTGAGTGTATAAAAAATATATTCAGAACAGAGCATTAGGTTCTGATTTCAACAGAAAAAAGTTTGAGGGACTAGCTGCTACATACATCGGCAATAAATATTTTTCCTTTCGAATTATTATAGTTGATAATCTGGTGTTTATAATGATATATCAGTATTGCATAATCTAATGTTTGCTTCATACTGTCATTATTCATTGCAATAAACTTGCATCTGACAGGGTATGACTCAACCAAAAGGTCATGTTGGAAAAGTGGTTTTCAGTGTTTGAGTTGCTTTTATGTTATATTTTATTGCATGATTTTGGCTTGTGGTCTAGTAAAATGCAGGCTGCTTAACCTGTGCCAGTACTTGGAAATAAAGATGCTGCTTGCTCAGGGGTCCTGTTCAGTGTGAAAAGGGTACATTCATCTGTCTGAACTCTGTCACCCTGTTTTGTGACTAGAAGGGTTACGGAAACCAGGAATTTGTGACTTTGTATATACCGTGAATCTCTACTTTAAAGGCATTTAATGAAAGATAAATTGTGTAATTGAATGACTTGTTCACATTTTTACCCTTCTGAAGGTGTGTGAAACGACAATGAAATGCTATAAAGCTCTAGTATGGAAGGGCTGAGTGACTCCGAAGTCAGGAAGCTTTTTTTTATTCCACAAAGTTGAGCAAACATAGAAGTCAAATCCAAATGGTCTGTGTCGGTGAACGTTGAAATAGTACCGGAATGTTGTTCTGTCCAGTTCCTATTTGCATTGTCAAGATTTGTACGGGAGATTTTGGTTTTATCTGGAATCAGTCTCATCCTAGGTCCTGTGTTGCATCTTCCACTTCAGCAGGGACTGGTCATCCTTATGAGCTCTGTTCTAGTTTCTGGTTAGTCTTGAATCCACCAACTTTTTGCATCGTCTGCAAAGATTAATTTCAAGTGAGGGCTTCATGTTCCTCTTAAAATGAATAGGTTTTTTTTCCTGCCAAGCTGAGAGGCTGGGGCAGAAATCAAAAGACTGCTTTATATATAAAATGGGTGTGTGTATACACAAGAGAAGTTAGGTATAGTTCTGCTGCTAATGACCTTATGGTTGAATAGAAGGGAAGATACGCTTGGCAGACGATTAACGATTGATTCATTATCTTTATGCTGGGCCTGTTCCTTTGTAACCTGTGTGTTTAGGAAATAATGTAGACTACTGGCCAGTAAATTTGAAGAAAGACCAACATTTTGATTGGGATCTCTGGCTATGTTTTGAATGATTGTCAGTGCTTGAAAGAATCTTTTACATGATTAAGTTACTGCTCGCTATCGATTATAATTTTTCAATTTATAATCTTGCTTAGACTCGTTTTAATCTGATGCTTTTGGGGAAAAACATGGTTCAAAGCTGCTAGCTTCTTGAAATTAGCTGTACTTTAAGAATATTATGGGGTTGCAGTAATCTTCATTTTTAGGGGATGACTAACTTGATGAATGAGACACTGACTATAGTGTGCTCTTTTAGCTGTTGGCCTCTAGTATGAGACACTTTAAAAAGATGTCTGAGAGCGAGTTAGACATCTGGACTAATTGTACCAGTTCCTCGTGTGGGCCAGAACATTAATGGCAATAACTTTTGGTCACCATTGCTGTGGGTTTGAGAATAACTTTTTATCTGTAGCAAATCTTGTGAGCGTATTAGTCATACTAAATTTTAAAGACGTTTGTGGAGATTACAAAGAAAACTGGAAGAGGTCGTGATAACTTAAGAAATGTTGACTGTAGCTTGAACTCGACTGCTTCATTCTGTGCCACAATTAGAATTTCCACAATCTCTGTTTTTAGAGGATTACCCCAATGGGACGTGGCTCGGAGATGAAAATAACCCTGAGATGCGGGTCCGTTGCCCCATCACCCCTGCTGATATGCTGCACATCAGCACAAACTGCCGCACAGCCGAGAAGATGGCGCTGACATTGCTTGATTATCTCTTCCATCGGGAAATTCAGGCCATCTCCAACCTTTCGGGCCAGGGGAAGCATGGGAAGAAGCAACTTGATCCTCTCATGATTTATGGAATTCGCTGTGAGTATAATACTGAAACTTTTGAATTTATACTGTGTAGATAAGGCAGAAACTGTCTGCTGCTTGCAGTTAAACTATGTTTTGTAAGAACGGGGTATGTATGGTTGTTGCCAGACAGATGTTTCGTTAGCTTTTGTTTGTGAAGGGATCCTAATGGGCTGGTTTAATTTAGTTTGTTGTGGGTGTTCACCAGAAATTCCTCAATCTTGAAATCTGAATTCATCTTTCTTTGCAATTACCAGCTGTGAGCGCACCAGGTTTAGTAAATATCGGAGAAATACTACTTTCTCAGATAATGGCACGAATAATAAAACAAATTGCACAAATTTAAATATTGTTCAAGTGTTCAAAACAGTATGGTCTTGAATCTTAAGTTTTTTACTTCCTACTTATGTGTATTATTTCAAAAGTCTTGCTGACATTGAGATGGAAGAAAATTGCAATCTCCACTAAAGGAGAGATTAAGTATCATAAAGTCTGTGGATTCGTAACAGGAATGCCTGTGATGCTAATGTTTGTCTGCTCCAGTGTGCATGAGTCTTTTGGTTATTAAAGCTATTATGCAGTAATGAACAGATTTATACTGATGATGCAATTTTTGTCAGTTTAAAAGGAATCAAATGTGGTTTGCATATAGAATACAGTAGGCATAGCACTAGTTTTAAGTGAAAAGACGACTCTGGACATATGCATCTTGTTCATATAGAGCAAGGACATAAAGAATACAGTAGGCGTAGCCACTAGTTTGGAGTGAAGAAGAATCTGGACGTACGCATCTTGCTCTGATGCGGTGACTTCTAGTAGAGGATTACTCGGTGAATACATTGAGGACAGCGACATCTGTTCCATGGGCTATGGTGTAAATATTTTCCAGTAAAGGAGGTAGGTGAAGGCCTCGCAAACAGCCAAGCATCTGACACAAGTGTTACAGCTCTTGTGTGGTACCTTTGCTATGCAGGTAAAGAGGAGATAAATTTAAATGTTACTGTGGAATTAAGAGAGTCTAAAAATGACCAACTTTACTAACTGAACTAGATTTTAATATACCAGTAGATGTCACTGTTAAAAGATTCTTTATAGTCACATCTTATGTAGGTCACCAATGGATTAGTAGAGTGGGAATAATTTTTTTATACTAGAGTGAAATGCCAATTAAGGCTTAAGAACATAGCCAGAGAGAGCTTATTTTGAATGGTGTTTGAAGAATTTGATGTTTTGTTTTTATGCTTCTGTTAGGGCAATGTGTTTGATAGTTACGTGGAAGAAAATGTGAAGAATATTTCACGATGAGACTGCTGTGCTTTTTTTACACTGAACTGAGCTGAGGAAATACAGTCCTATTGACCTGCTTTTGTTCCTAGTAATTTGCTGGCTATCTCGGGGAAACTGATAGGCAAAACTAACCCGTTCAGTTTGCTGCATTAGAGCAATTTTTGTCTCATTACATACCTGAAGGAGAAGACTCCAGGCTTCTACTGCAAATATATTAAATAGGTATTTTTAAGGGAGAGTATGATTCAAAGTAATTTTAATCTCCAAAACCTTTTTATCTGTTGAACTCATCAATGTAGATTAACCTTGTTCCATTGTAGTTTTAAAACTTAGATTCTTGTTGACGACAGTTTTTAGAAACAGGAAGAAATGAATCTTGCTCCACTGTTAAAGCAAGTCACTGGCAGCCCTCTTCCCCATCGCATAAATCCGTGAGCACAAATCAAACGAGGGAGTTTGTAACTATTTGTGTAGGAAGAACAGGTTTTTGAGAATGTGAGCATGGGGGAGGAATGTGCTCATGTGACTGAATGCTCAAGATAGGGTTTGTGTCGTTTATATGAGGCATTCTGACCATGAAGAAATTGGATTATAGAAGTGATCCCTGCAGCTGGAAAAGGCCTGCAGTGGCAGAAATGTAACAGCAGCGGATCATAGGCAGCAGCATTCTGGACGATGGGCACAGAAACCACTGTCTGTGTCTTTGATATCATAAGCTTGCTTCGGATGGTTTCGGTTCCAGGTATCTGAAACTTATCTCTGTTTTTAATTCCTGCCGACTAGTACGTCACTTTCTTTTGGGAAGCAGTCCATAACAAACTGGGGATTGTGTATGCCTTCTGCAAAAAATACACCCTGTGTGAACCTGACCAGAGTTTGCTTTTTTGGGTACCTAAATGTTAATGGTTACTGAGGTTCGCTGTCAGTGACGACAAAGAATCCTGTGGCGACAAGTGATGAAAATGCATGTAAACTTGATGAAGCAGCGAATTTAATAGTAACAACGTTGGTCCAGAAATGATGATTTCCTGTAATAACCTAATATGTCTTCGCTGCAAATAATTAAGTTGAAATGAAATGTGATTTCAGTAGCCTGTTTATGAATTTGCTGCGATGCGAGTCGGCGCATGCATGATTCATAACTTTTGAGGATGAGATTCTGGCCACGTTGAGTTCAGCTGTGCCATGATTTCATCCCTAATACTTGTCAGAGAGGTACTGGGAAGAGCCCTGCCATGCCATATCCACTTTGCTTTACCAGTCCACGGATCATCTGTTTTCTATTGGTGAAGTGTTGTTCCATAAAATCTACCAAAAACTGAGTGTAGCGCTAGCATGGGAACTAAATTAGGTTGTTGTCCTAACAATGTGGCTTGCTTCTGCTCTGAGCAGTAGTACTTTGATGCAGTATTTTAAACTTAGATGAAAAATCCAATGTCATCAGCCTCACATTTGCCAATCATAGCTAGAAAAGCTCAAGCCAATATAAAGGATTTTAGTTTTTCCTTTTGTTTCAAGTTTCTTAAAGTCTGTCAGTGGAAAGAGAGTCTTTCCTCTCTTTTTGTAGAAGAAAAAGAAAGCACCAGCCAAATCTGTATTTAATAGAGAAAATATTTTGTATAATACGCAGAAACTATAGAACATGGAGATGTATGTTTATTAAAAATTCTTGATACGCTGCATAAGGTTTACCGCAAGAGAGATGAAAGTTTGTCTTTGGAAGTATAAATTTTCACTTGTGGTATAAATTTGCTTGTGGGGTGGCAGTGGTATCGAAGAGAGTTTTTTGGGCAAGAAACCAAAATGACTTAAACACACTATATGTCATTAAGTAGCTCATTACTTCAGCCCTACTAAAAATGTAGACGTTTGCTGGTGAAATATGATATAAGAACATCCGCAGTTGTATTTTCTGTTACACAGAGAAAATTACAGGTCTCTCTTGAGATTTTACGGCAGTCTCCACAAATGAGTTTGAAGAGTCAGATTTCCAAAATCAGAATTTTGCATTTATAAAAAACTTTATAACACAAAGGATGATTTTGCATGTTGTCTTGGAAAAAATTGAGAGGGGATTTCTGAAGTTCATAAAAGAAATCTATCAATAGTTTGTATTCTTTAAAAGAAAAGCTATCAATAGTTCTTATTCTTTAAAATAATCTAAGTAATTAAATGAAATCAAAATAACATTAGTTATTTCCTGTGTGTGTAACTTTGTTAGCATGTCATTTCTGTGAAAGCCTCTTGCACATGTGTGTTTGCAGACTCTCGCTAATCATTTTTTAATATATTTGTCAGTTTTGGCCAATTATGACAAGAGGATAGAAGATCAATACGTACAAATGAAATGCAGATCAAATGTTGGGTGAAGGAGGGAGATGCAAATGCACTAATTGCGTTAAGGAGAACCCGAGCCCTCAGTTCAGTTGTATTATTGGACACCAGAAATCCTCTTTTGGCTCCACACAGTCGTCTGTTGCTCAGGGAAGTATTTATGCATATTGAAATAACTCTCACATTAGGGATGTGATTGTTGTTTAAAAACAAAACCAAACCAACCGAACAAAACAACCAAAAACCCCCAGTACCCGCAGAGGGGAGGGCACCGTGCTGAAGGATGTATGAGTAGTGTTCTAGCCGGTCTATTGAATTTTCCCATCTGCTTCCAAGACTACTTTGTAGAGTGAATTTTTGCTGATTTCCGTTCAGGAGTTAACATTCATTTCATCCAGAATACATCTGTGTCATTTGAATAACATAGGAAAAAAGTGTTATCTGAAAATACCTTATGATAAAGTCTGATTTTTAACTATATGGTAAGTGATGTCTATTCTGTTTCAAATGGCACGTAACTTTACTTTTTAGGAGGCATTTAAAAGCGTAGGATAGAAAGAAGTTGGTAGTCAAAACTTAGTGTTTCTATTGCATCATAATATTGCTTCCAGTAAAGACGGGACCACCTTTCTACTGTACTGGTTGAAAGAGATGTTAGTACACTTTGCTAGGAAACGAAACGTAGCTACGTGCTCTTCAGAGGGCCGTTCAAATAGCATCAAGCGCTACACCGCTCTGCAAAGTTCATTGACACAATACTGCTTGACAAGCAGACCACCCACATTTGTTTAATAGGAAACACATTCGACTCCTGCTTGATTGTGTAATGTATGTCAGTTAGACCAGCGTATGTATATATATTCGTGCACATAACCCAAACACAGCGCAGGTTGGGCCAGTTTAAGCAACTTGTAACTTGTGTCATGTAAAATCCGCGGATCACAGTAAGTCACTACTGTTTCAGCTTCTCCTTTGCTTTTAATGAAGATTTTGATCTTAATAGCAGTGCAGGATAAACAACAAATATACCACACTTCTGTCTCTCTGAAGCATTATCGTGCTTTTAAATACTGGAGGAAGGGTAGTAGGTGGCTTCTCAGACAAGCTGTTAGTTCTAATGTTTCTCACCAGCGGATCTGTTTTATGAGATACTGCAGACTGCTGCTATTATAGGGAATGTTTTATATAAATAAACATTGCAGTTACTGAAAGTGTACACTATAAATACGGAATGTATTTAGTATTTTCTGGTTTTTCAGTTTTCCACTTTAAAAAAGCCTTTTTTATTGCTGTATTTTTATAAACTATGCCCATTTTTCCTTTTATTTCCTTTTTTCCTTCCTAATCTTTGTATACTTTTTTGCAGTCTCTCTCTGTCTTCCTTTTATTTCCTG